TTTTTCTTTTGACTTAATAAAAATATTCAAAATAAATGTTTACTCCCTGGCTTATGCTTAGGTACATAATATATTAGCCAGTTGCCTTCACCCTTAGTTGAAAATCTGGCATATTATTGTTGCTGTAGGTAAGGTACTCCAAATTAATTTAATGGCTGACATTTATTGAATGCCAGACACTGTACCAAAGCATAGGTTAATTTAAAGGCAAATCTCAGTATGACTGAGAATTTCATTCCAGAAATGGGAAAAGCTATACTTTGAGTTGTAAAATGTTTGAAGCCTTAACCATATCATCTCACAAGTATTCCGGCCAGCACTGTGTTTCAGATATCATGAGTTACTCACCATCCACTACCCAGCCTGGTATATATGCAGCTCTGTTTGGTGGATGCCTTAAATTTCGTGCGGCAGTGTTTGCTCCTGCATGAGCTCGTACTTTTAAACTATATCTGCCGTTTTCTGAATAAGCTGTAAAATATCTGGAGTAGACCCCATCATCCTTGAAAGTGTCAGCACCTTGTTATAGAAATTAAGGAATGAATTATTATTGTAAAGAAAAAGAGAAATTTATGCATTTTCCAAGTCAAGCATATATCCTTTGTAAGCATATCCCTTAGAATGAGCTCCCTATTTTTCACGGGCCAGCTCTTGATGATAGGATTATAAATGGTCTGAATTAATTACATTGCATAAGATACTGATAGAAATCCATGGTAATCCAGATGTCTATCAAATTGGTGTTGTTGTTTTTTTCCTTGCTCACTGAACTCTGAAAAGAATGTTCAGTTCCCAGAATAACCCAGACCGTGAAAAAGATCTTTAAGCACTGCTCACCCATGCACACCAGGGAGAGAGCATGGCCCACACTGTGTCTTGTTTCATGCTAGTCAAACCTGGTATCTGATGCTGTTGTAATGTCTCCTCCTGTCTTGTGGCAGCTCTGCCTGCCCTTGGGCCTCAGTTCCCAGGACTGTATTTGCAGTTTGGGAATTACTCTTGCCTGTTCCTCTTCCCTGCTGGGGGCCCAGGATCTACCCCTTAACCCCTCATGGCTTCTGTGTTTCACTCTCTCTGGCCAGACTTTCTTGATGATGTGCCCCCAAGAAACACTTGTTCAGAATTCTTGATGCTGTTCTCAGTTTGTTGAGTGAGACCTTTCTATCTGGTGACAGACATTGGTTGTCTAGATGATGAACAATAATGACAGTAAATAACATTTATTGAGTATTACTATGTGCAAGACACTTGCTAATCACTTTGTAGGTTTTTTTATTGCTTAAAGTATTACAAAGGGTATTACATATGTGTCCTTTTTTCCCCCCGCTCTTGACAATCCCCTGGCCTCCCCTACCCCCCAGTGTCTTATGTCCATTGGTTATGCTTATATGCATGCATACAAGTCCTTCGGTGATCTCTTACCCCCCTCCCTCCTGCCCCCCAACCCTCCCTGGCCTTCCCGCTGCAGTTTGACAATCAGTTTGAGGCAACACTTTGTAGGTTTTACCTGAATAGAATTTCTTGCTGTCCCTGTTGTTCACAATCTGCATCAGTTTTCTTGGTGTTTCTCACTCCCCCATACTGTCACGGGACCCATAACATATCCTAAGTTATGAAAATATAGGCTTATTCTTTAAAAAAGGAAAACACTGTAAATTACCTGCACCATTATCAAAAAGTTCCAAAACTTCTGTTTTTCCACTACTTGATTCAATGAATGCAGTCACATTGGCTCCAAGAATGGGTATATACCCTTGTAGAACTTCTGCGTAAACAATCATTGGGCTGGGGAAGCTGTTTGTGTCTTTATTCATTTTAGCATTCACTGTGATTGGGGCCACAGAAGAATTTGCTGCTCGAGAATTAACTGTTATAGTTAATGTTTCTGAGTCTGCTTTGGCTTGAAGACTGTAAGTCCAAACACCCACCTAAAAATTCAATGGAAGTAGAATATCAGATCAAGCTATTTTTTTGTGTTTCCATTTATTTACTCTAAAATAAATCTTAGAAATATGTTGCAGAATAAACAGGGTTTTGAAATTTTTGAGATTTTTTTTTTAAGGTAAATGGATGAAAATGAAGGCAATTTGGACAGGGCATCCTGGCTATTGTCATGCATGGTGTCCAAACTTTGTGAAATCTCAGCTGGGAAAAATAAGTTTTGGAAAGTTTGCCTTGGTCTTGGCCTTATGGAGTTCAGAGATTTTTAATTCTTTATTCTATGATCTGGTAATACTAATAAGCTGTACAGATTTCCTGCATTGCCTCCTTAAAATTATTCTTAGCCTATCTAATTTTTCCCTTCTCTTCCTTCCTCCTAATGCATACATTCTTCTTTCCTTTTCCTGCCACCATAATTTTCAGGACCATACAGACACAGAAAGTACATTGTATTTTATTTAAATTTTGAAGATGATACAAGTATTGGTACTCATATTTATGACATTAAACAATGTATTTTTAGCTATGAAATTGATTTATGTGGAAATAAAAAAGCTGATTGCTTACCTTTGCAGTTCCTGGAATACTGAAATAGGCCATTTTGGAAGCAGCATCCACTGTGGAATTTTTCATTGGTGTTCCATTGGGATCCAAGAGAGAAATAATGGGCTGCTGTTTTAACCATGTGATGAGAAAGAATGTGTCCTTTCCCACAGTGCTATCAATTATTACAGTTCCATTCATCCAGAGATTATCACTGAGTGTTAATCCCTTACTTTCAATCTGTATAAATATATATTTTAAAATTAGTGACTGGAGAAAAGAGTAATTTTATTCTTTTTTCTTTTTAAAAAAAAAACAGTTCTTAATTCCTGGCCTGCGAACAAGCTTATATAGGGCATACCTCCGTAGCCTTGTGATCTCTCTGACAGCTGATTGGGATATGACAGTTGTTAATCAGAAAGTATGGACATATGGGATCTGAGTTAAAACCATTAGAGCAGGAGAATGGGTTTTACAGTTGGAGACATGGCTGTGTTATTTTTTCCCAGTTGTTTTCATATACACCCACCTGAGATTTTAGCATTATAGGATGCTACAATGTCAAAGAAGAATTAGCTGTAGTGTGTATGTGTGTGTGTGTGTGTGTGTGTGTGTGTGTGTGTGTGTGTGTGTGAGAGAGAGAGAGAGAGAGAGAGAGAGAGAGAGAGAGAGAGAGAAACCCTCAGTTTACCCATCTTCATGATGGTGGCTACAGTACTAGTATTTGAGTAGAGACATAGTTAGGTGAGGACCAGCAAGTAATGAGACAAGCACTCATGGATATTTTCCTGATGTGAAAACTTCATGAACTTTTTCACACACCCTAGAGTTAGTAGCCCTGAACAATAAACATGTTCAGCAAGAGTGTAAATAGAGCAAAAGGATATTTATGAAGGTTGGAATATTTAGAAGTGCATGTTAGGATCTTTCTTTGAGAGGAGCCTCAAAGAAAGTTTTTCAAGTTTTTGAGGATGGCTCTAAGTAAAGTACAGCGAATTTTACCTACTGACCAAGAAAGTGCTTTCTACAGATGTGTCATTCCAGGAAATGATGGGAAACTCAACTTCTATTCTAACCTAGTCCTTAACCAGAAATACCTCCATATCAGTACTGAGATAAGAGAGTGAATTCTACCATTGAAACATCATCGCAGTGACAAAAATCTCAGTCCTCTGTAAAGTGGACCAAGTAATATCAAGTTAATCTGAATGTGAGTGACTTTTTTTAGACTCCCCATCAAGAACGTGTAAGAAAGTTAGAAAGCTTTGACTAAATAGCAGTACTAGGGGACAGTAACTGAGTAAAGAGTGGGAAGCAACCTTTCCTCTGTATTCCAGCTGCCATTTTAAGTGAGGGAAACAAAACCTTCCTGCCCCTTCCATACAGTTTAAGAAGTCCACGTTTAAAAGTTTGACCACTTCCTGTATGAAAATGACCTTTTTCTAGCTGATTTTCCACATCCCACTCTTATATTTAAAATTTCTTTATGATATTCCATTTTAATGTCCCACCATCCACTAAAAATCACTAAGGTTTAAACAGAACACAAAACAATATCTTCAAGTTCAGTTCTCCCTCTTTACCTGTCAACTTTAGAAAATAGTATTATCATTTTCTAAATCAATCAGGTTGAAACCCTCAGAAATTAGTTTTCTTCTCCTTCAACTTATTCTCCATACATTACCAAGCTAGATTCCAGATGAACTTTTAATCTGTTTGCAAGGTGAAGCTACAAACCAGATCTCAACATCAATCTGCACATACAATCCTAATCCTGCATCCTATAATTTATGTGCTCTTCATTATTGGAGACCAGAGGAAAATAGGTTTGTTTAGGTGATCATGTCAAGTTTTAATATAGGCATAGACCTAATGAACTGGAAGATGGAAGACAAGTTTTCAAATAAGGTGACATGATGTAGATTTGGTGGGAATGGATAGGGATAAAAACATAATTTTGTAAAAAATACTTTCAAAGAAATAGTCTGTGTTGACATTTTACATTGGACATGAATGAAGAATCAAAGTTTAGTCAAAGTTTTTGAATCTAATTAACAGAAAATGAGGGTGTTATTTAAACACAGGTGAAAAAAGGAGTTGAGTTCAGAAGAGAGGTGAATAAAATAGAAAGCCAGTGAAAAGAGTGGTTGAAGACATAAAGGAAATCCTAATTTTTTCGATCTGTAATGATTATTCATTTTCTTTCTTCAGATAAATTTCTTTCCAAGATACTTTCCTTCCATTTCTAATTCAAGTTCTTGACATCACTCACCTAACCTAAATTTATTTCACAGCAGTAAAAGGTGAGAGAAATCTTGAAACTATGATATATTTTTATGTATTCATAGAAAAATGGATGCTATATTATTGGGCAAAGTCTATATTTTATGAAAAATTTAACATTTAAAAATATATATTTTTATTGATTTCAGAGAGGAAGGGAGAAGGAGAGAGAGAAACATCAATGATGAGAGAATCATTGATCAGCTGCATGTGCCCTTAACCGGAATCAAACCCGGGACCCTTCAGTCCTCAGGCTGTCGCTCTGTCCACTGAACCAAACCGACTACAGCAAAATTTAACATTTTAATGTTATTCCTTAACTAAACTCTATGTAAGAAGAAAAAGAAAAAAAAATCTGCTATTTCACTACTATTTTACTACTTAATTTGGCCATATCTGAAGAATGGCCATGGATTTCTGTTACATACTTAGTTTTGATTTTAATTAATAACTTAATTTGAGAAAATATAGAACTCAAAACTTATAATAACCAAAGTATTTTTCTTGGTATGGCTAAATACAAACACAAAAACCTGAGGAATTGGAATTCAGACCTGAATAGACTTCTGGGAAATATCAGCATTTCCTGATGTAAGAGCCCCAAAAGCATCAATGAGGCCATTGTTCTGGGCTTCATCTGAAGCAAGGAAATGTATTCCTCCTAAAATATAAATATATTTATTAGGTTGCTTTCTAGAAAATAAGTACTTATCACAATTAAGTGATTTTTAAGGTAACAGTAAACCTGTTATGCGCACAGGTGAGGTCTGGAGTGGAGACGAAGACAGAGACAGAGACAGAGATGGGGGCCCAGAGCTAACACAGGCAAGGGGCTGGCGGGGGGGCAGTGAGCGTGAGGGTGGCGGGGGGGGGGCGGGGGGGGTAGGGGCGGAATCAGGCGCGGATCCTGGTGGCCCATGGCGCTAGTCAGTCCGGGCTGCCTGCGGTGGATGCAGCAGTCTGGCCTGACTCCTGCTGAGGCCCATGGGGTGCCTCCTTGCATGTGATTTCAATTGAGTGCTGGACCTCTAGTATGGAATAAAAAAAGACCCCAATAGCCGCATTAATCCTGAGAAAGAAGAACAAAGTTGGAGGGATCACAGTACCAGATATAAAGCTATAATACAAAGCCACAGTGCTCAAAACTGCCTGGTACCAGCACAAGAACAGACATATAGACCAATGAATCAGAGCAGAGAACCAAGAGTTCAACCCAAGACATTATGCTGAATTAATATTTGACAAAGGAGGCAAGAGCATACAATGGAGTCAAGACAGTCTCTTTAATAGATGGTGTTGGAAAATTGGACAGATAAATGCAAAAAAATGAAACTAACCCCCCCACCTTACCCCCATAATGGATAAAGGACTTAAACATAAGACAGGAAACCTTAAAAGTCTTAGAAGAATCTATAGGCACCAAAATAGCAGACATTTGCTGTAGCAATATCTTGACCAATACTGCTCCTAGGGCAATGGAAACTAAGGAGAAAATAAACAAATGGGACTACATCAAAATAAAAAGCTTCTGCACAGCAAAAGAAACCATCAACAAGAAAGCCCACTGCATGGGAGAACATATTTGCCAATGTTATATCTGATAAGGGTTTAATCTCCAAAATTTATAGGGAACTCATACAATGTAACAAATGGAAGATAAACAATCCAATCAAAAAATGGGCAAAGAACCTAAATAGACACTTTTGGAAAGAGGACATACAGAAGGCCAAGAGACATATGAAAACATGCTCAAAGTCACGAATCATCTGAGAGATGCAAATCAAAACAACAATGAGGTACCATCTCACACCTGTCAGAATGGCTATCCTCAACAAATCAACAAACAACAGGTGCTGGCGAGGATGCAGAGAGAAAGGAACCCTTGTGCACTGCTGGTGGGAATGCAGATTGGTGCATCCATTATGGAAGACAGTATGGAGTTTCCTCAAAAAATTAAAAATGGAACTCCCATTTGACCCAGTAATCCTACTTCCAGGAACTTATCCGAAGAAATCAGAAACACCAGTCAGAAAGGATATATGCACTCCTATGTTCATAGCAGCACAATTTATCATAGAGAAGATCTGGAAACAGCCTAAGTGCCCATCAGCCGATGAGTGGATTAAAAAACTGTGGTACATCTATACAATGGATTACTACACTGTGGTAAAAAGAAGGAACTTTTACCATTTGGAGCAGCATGGACAGACCTGGAAAGCATTATGCTAAGCGAAATAAAGCAGTCGGTGAAAGATAAGTATCACATGATCTCAGTCATTTGTGGAATATAATGAACAACATAAACTGATCAACAAAAATTGATTCAGAGTCATAGAAGCATCGAATAGACCCTCAAACCTCAGAGAGAAGTTGGAGGAGGGAGTGGGGTCGGGGGAGAGTAACTGAAGGACTTGTATGCATGCATATAAGCATAACGCATGGACACAGACAGTAGAGGGGTGAGGGCATGTGCTGGGGGGTGAGAACAGCTGGGAAGAGGTTAATGGGGGGAAAAGAAAACATATGAAATATTTTAAACAATAAAGAATTTTTTAAAAAGCAAGTGTGTATTTGGTAACAATAGAAGCCAACTCAATATATAATAATTGATATCCATAAAGTTGTAAATTATGTGTTCTCTACTATATTTAAGAAGGCACATGTCCATTTTCATCAGCTGTCTCTGTATCTAAGATAACAGCTACCAATGTAAATGTTTATCTAAAAACTTATTTGTTAACATCTATTCATACTGAGCCTCTGTGAATTCCATTCCCTCCGCGCCCTACACCTGCAGCCAAAGTAATCTCTCCTCTCATGGATTTCTATCCCTCCATGTGCCTTTCATTGTCATCCCAACATGACTTCTTTACTCATGACCTGATCATCTTTTCTAACCCCTTTTTCCTCCATTGAAATTCAACATTTTATTGAAGGCGCAGCTCAGATGTCACTTTGTCTCTCATGCCTTCTTTCTCAGATTTTATACAACCCTGGGAGAATTAATGGCTTCTTCGGCTCACACAGAGCTTGACTTCTAGAGATTCCCCCCATTATGGAGGAATGTTATCTGAATATGTACCTGATTAGTAGTTTTATTTGTCTCTCTAGCCAGCAGGACTCTGAGCATCTTGAAAACAGAGATCAGGTGTGGTTTAACTCTGGTCCCTAGTTCCTGGCACTGTGCCTTCAGAACTCAAGAGAAGTTGAGTTGTCAGTCTCTACACTTACACATTGCTATTAAAGGACTAGAATATATAGGTCACATTTTACCTGTTACATTGCTCATCTCTCTGACTGCAAGATCAGCAGATGGTCCCAAAGCAATGAAGTGAATAATGGCCCCACTTTCTCTTACTTTATCAAGACAATTTTTTGCAGTGCTATCCTCCCCATCAGTCAGCAGCACTATTTCAGATCCATCTAGTTGGGAGTATCTTTTTCTTATTATCTGTAAACATAATCAGAGCATAATTACCATAGGTTCCTAGATCAATTAGACTTATGGGATATTAGGAAAAGGTGTACAGAGAAAATAAAAGTACCCAGAAAAGAATAGAAAGCTTCCGTTTTAAAATTGTAGGATCTGCAGTCAGCAAACCCCAAGGTAACTTCAACATGACTCTATTTTCTGTCTGTCTGCTTTAGGGAATGTTTGCTCAAGTGAAGTTATGAGGGACCAGGGCTTTGGGTTAAGAATCAGTGATATCTCAGCGTGAGAAGTCAGGTCAACCAGATACCAAAAGTATAATTGCAGAGTGTGGCATTAAATATTTCTCTTCTTTCTTTGACCAGACTTCCCTCTGAGAAGGCTTCAGTGTATAAAATCTGTTGCATAGACAGCTAAATGCATTAAGAAACCACTTCAATATTTTAAAAAAACAAATTATGATTTCAAATTAGGAAACCCTCAGTATACATATAGAAAAAGAGTATAGGAAGTTCTAAGCAGGTCAAGATTAGGGATCTTGTTATATATCTTTTATTTTACTTCTAAATCTAACAAGCACAAAACTAAGTATATTGATGGTGCTCCGAGAATACATGAATTATGTTTATTGAGATGGAATTCTATTGGTAGCTTGAACCCTTTTCCTATAGAGCCAATCAGTTTACACTCAGATTTCTGAATCTAGGCTCCTGTAGAAAAGGATAAAGAGAATTTGTCACAGGATAGCAACTGCATTTCATCTTCTCTGACACATTTAATTGGCAGTGGCTTCTTGGTGCACCATTATGAGAAACTGAGTGCAGGCCAAGAGATAAATATGACTAATTTATCAGTGGCTTTCATGGACTTGGAATGGAGATGTGCGTAGATTTGCAGAAAGGGTTTGGAATGTAGAAATCCCTAATAAACTTGGGGTCGGGGAACAATATGAACATCCTCATTTAAATTTTTGCATGTTTTAAGGAAATAATCACACACACATAGACACACACACACACACACACACACACACAGCATTTTTGGGGAAATATGCTCTGACATGCACTAAAACCAAACTAAGAAATAGGAAATGTTTTTATACATTTACAATATTTATATAGCATCCTCATCACTTCCCCCCTACAAATTTCATTGAAAAAATGAATATCCAAAGATGAAGTAGATTTCTCTTGTTCAACTCTCCCTTTCTTGTATTAGTTACTCACTGAGCATTTAATATGTTAGTCGCTGTCTTGGCTGCTGGAGATTCAACAGGAACTACATGGTTATTTTTATTTTATTTTTTATTTTTATTTTTTGTTTTTTTTTGTTTTTGTTTTTTTTTTGGTTATTTTTTTAAGCTTTGGAAGATCTAGCCATTATCTACCTGCCAACTACATTTCATATGCCCTCATTTGTCAAACACCAGTGCCACTAGCTCTATCAATTTTTAGAATAATCCAGTTATTTTCCACCTCTTTCTTAAGGGACTTTGCACTTTCCTTTCTGCCTGAAACAATGGCTTTCTCATCCTTCAAGTCATAGCTTAAATGTTACTCTTCAGAGAGAGTCTCAGTGGCCTCTTCACCTAAAGTAGGCACTGCCCCTCCTTTCCCAGTTAGTCTGTCACATCACCTTGTTTGGTTTCTTCACAATACTATCTTCACAATCTACAGTTATTTTTTTTATTCATTTATCTACCTATGTACTATCGGTTCCCCACTGAAATTGCATGAGCCATAAGAACAGGGAAGCTTTGCTTGCTACATAAATATATGTTGAATAAATTATAATATATTATATGTTTGCCCTCTACTTAATATAATAAATATCCTATATAATAAAAGGCTAATATGCAAATCGCCCGAATGGTGAAATGACCGGTCCCTAGGATGCACACTAACCCCCAGGGGGCAGACCCTCAATGCAGGAGCTCCCCGCTGCCCCCTGGTGGAAGTGCTGCTCAGCCAGAATCCAGGTTCATGCCTGGTGAGTGCAGCGGTGGTGGCGGGACCTTCTCTTACCTTCGTGGCAGCACTAAGGCCCCTTGGGGGATGTCCGACTGTCAGCTTAGGCCCTTTCCCTGGGAGGGGGTGCAACCCAGGCTGAGGCCCCCCCCCCCCCCAGTGCACAAATGTCATGCACCAGACCTCTAGTATCTTAAATAAATTAAAATATGAACAAACATATATTTATTACTCCATTATAAACATATATTTATTACTAATGAGGTAATTGATGACTATAGAGATGAAGAATCATGCTTGGTGTTACAACTAGTAATGATAATTAGAGTTTTAAGTAGGACTTGATGTTAGAAAGCTACACTAAAATGCCATGCAAATTATAAATGAGAGAGATTTAATAGGGTTTGGAAAAGCAGGAAATGCTACATGAAGGAGCAAGGTTTTGAAGAATCAGTAGAATCTTAACATGCAAAAATGGAAAGAAGGAAACATGTTAGGTAGAGGAATTGCCTGGGCAAATGAACAGAGGCTGTCAGTGCATGGTGGGCTTGGAGAACAATGTGTGCAGTAACTGGGTTAGAGCAGTGGTTCCCAACATGGGGCACAGTGGTTGCCCCACGGGAACAATTTGATTTTGAAGGGGGGCAATTCAAGAATGAGTTATTAACAGTGAATTTTTTGCATATGGTTCTAGGGTCCTCATATACAGTATGTAAATATATATTATGACATATTTATGCATTTCAGTTCTCTATTATATGTTTTGAAACTTTATTTGCTATCTTTTCATATCACTTCATATTATTATTATTCTTTTTAACAATTTCTTAATGATTTCTTCCTCAGTACTTAACTGTCCTTTTGTTCTTTTATTTTTCTCTTTCATGAATGCCATATTCTTTGTAAGCTTGTTTAGACTAAGTTAATGGCCCTTTAAGCTTCCTCCACGTGAATATGAGTTCACTTTTTGAATAATAATCATATGTCACAGGGCGGGCATTGGGATTTTTAGAGATGCTTAGGTGGGGCATGGCCAAAAAAAGGTTGGGAACCACTGGGTTAAAGCATAGAGCATTAGAAAGGAGAATTGAGAACTATAGGCTGGAGAAAGAGATGAGAGCAGTTTTACTGAGGGGGTGAGAGACATTTTGAATAGCATCAGACTGAGGAATTCAGATATAATTTTATAGACTGTGAGGGAAGCATGAAGATTTCTAAGCAGGAAAATGACACATTTGATATTAATTATAAGCTCAAGATACAATTTGGAAGAAAATGAGGTTTATAATAATAGTTGTAAATTATATATTTACTATGTAATATATTTAATATTGTTCTATGTATGTAAATATATCATTTCATTTAATTATCATGATAATCCTATGAAGTAGACATTCTTATTTGCCTATATTTTATAGATAAGGCATTGAGAATCCAAAGATACTGAAAATGTTGCCTAAGACCCCAAAACTGGTAAATAGCAGTCAGTACTTTGATATCAAAACTCATGTTCTCACCAATATTCCTTACCCTATGACTAACAGTCCTGCTATATCTGCTTAGTAGGTAAACATCAGTTTATCTGAATGTCAGAGACTGAAACGAGGATTGGCCCAAAGTGGAATCACACCATTTAACTTGTTTCATTGCCTTAAAAGTTGATGACTTTTGATGCTCAATCACTCATTTATTTAACTAACATTTATTGAGCAATGACTATTGCAAGGTAAAAGAACATGTAAACAAACCATAAAGTTCCTGACTTTATTGGACTTATATTCTAGTGGCATTCTTATATTAATACTAGAGGCCCGGTGCATGAAATTCGTGCACTGGGGGGTGGGGTTCCCTCAGCCCAGCCTGCCCCTCTGACAGTCCGGGAGCCCTCAGTGGATGTCCTACTAATGGCCACAGTCTGGCAGCAGAGGCTCGGAGCAGGTGTCCCGTGTATGTGTGTGTGTGTGTGTGTGTGTGTGTGTGTGTGTCTGTCTGCTAGGGCCTGCCCCCAGCCCCGCCATGTAGGCTCAAAGCAGTTGCCGTGTGTGTGTGTGTGTGTGTGTGTGTGTGTGTCCCCACTGGGGGTCTGCCCCCAGCCACATTGGAGGCTCAGAGCAGGCACTGTGTGTGTGTGTGTGTGCCTGCTGGGGGCCTGCCCCCAGCCACACCATGGAGGCTTGGAGCAGGAGCCCCTCTGTGTTGATCTCTCAGGATCCTGGCCTCCACTGCATGTTGTACTCTCCCTTGAGCTATGGCCAGGATGGGGGTGATGCTTGCAAGCCGGGCTTTCCTGCTCCCGGATCGCCATGGCGACTGGGGAGCAGGCCCAGCTGGGGGCTGCCCGCAGGCTGGGCTTTCCTGCTCCTATTTCAGGCACAGCTTGGGGCTGCCTGCAGGCCAGGCTTGCTTTCCTGCTCCCGGATCACCATGGCGACCGGGGAGCAGGGAAAGTTTGGGGCTGCCTGCAGGCCAGGCTTGCTTTCCTGCTCCCAGATCAGGCCCAGCTGGGGACTGCCTGCAGGTCGGGCTTGCTTTCCTGCTCCCGGATCAGGTGCAGCTGGGGGCTGCCTACAGGCCGCACTTTTCTACTTACTGATGGCCGGATCACCACAGCGACCCAGGGCCCAGCGGCACTTTCCTGCTCTCCAATAGTCATAGGATCCTGGCTGGGGGCGGGGCTTAGCAGTGCGGGGCTTAGGCGGCACGGGGGTCCCGTCTTGGGGCTCAGGTGGCACACAGGGGTCCTGGCTGGGAGCGGGGCTTATGCCCCGCTGCCCAGGGCTGCACACTGGCCCCGGATGGCAGCTTGCGCTGTCCCGCCCTGCCTGTAGTATAGGATAGAGGCCGGTGCACGGGTGGGGGCCGGCTGGTTTGCCCTGAAAGTGTCCCAGATCTGGGTGGGGGTCCCGCTTGGGTGCCTGGCCAGCCTGGATGACGGGCTGATGGCTGTTTGCAGCTGGTCACACCCCATTCAGGGTGGGAGTCCCCACTGGGGTGCCTGGCCAGTCTGGGTGAGGGCCTGAGAGCCGTTTTCAGGCTGGAGGGCAACTTAAGCTCCCAGCCTCTCCTTTTTTTTATTTATTTTTTATTCTGGGATTTATTGACCTTCTATAGCTGTCACTGGAGCTGAGAGCCGACTCCAGCTCTGAGGGCTGAAAGCAGGTTCTGGGTCTGTTTGGCTTCTATAATTGAAACTCTGTTGCCATCACAGCAGCTCTAAGCTCTGAGGCCCGGCTGGCTGAAAGCAGGTTTCTGGAGCTTGTTTAGCTTCTATAATTGCAACGTAGTTGCTTAGCGTGCAGCTCAGAGCTGGGCTGCGGCAGGCGGGGAACCTTAGCTTCCTCCATCACTGGAGCAAGCAAGCCTCCTGTTTGCTTCAGCTGCGTGGCTGCTGGCCGCCATCTTGGTTGGCAGTTAATTTGCATATCCTGCCGATTAGCCAATGGGAAGGGTGTCTGGGTTATGGTCAATTTGCATGTTTCTCTTTTATTAGATAGGATATTTATCCATCAGTTTATTCATTGATTCACTGACCCATAAAGAAAATCAAGTGAATTTTTAAAGTTCTTAGTTCTGTATTTCTTAGAATTAGTTATGTTAAAATTAGTAAGTATGTGCAGCAGCACTAATAGAAAAATGTTCTAATGATAAAAAACAAACAAACTATATATGCAGTATGATTTTCACCTGAAATGCTGCATCAATTCCAGCGCAGATGGAAGTTCCCCAATCAGCATTTGTAGGCAAGCTGTTCAAGAGCATATTTCTTTCGTTGGTGCTTATTATTTGGATGAGTTCATTTATAATGTAGGCATTACTATCAAAGTGCACCATCCCCACCCAGGTTCCATTTTCAATAGCTTGCAGCAGGAAAGATTTTGCTGCTTGATTCATTCGAGTTAGGCGGTCACCCTGAATGAAAAAGGACAAGAAAAACAACCAATTGGTTTTGACTGGAAAATAATAGTAGATTACATAAAATGAGTAAGTAGAACTTATTAAGAATTTTCTATTAGTAATTTGTGTCATTAAAAACAGCAATTTTTTAATTGATAAAATTTAAAAACATAGTTACATGTATTATGGAACATACGGTAAGGAACACAGGCTTTTAACTAGAAGGGATCCTTGGCTGCTTAGCACCTAAATTACAGGTGCAGGTTCAGGGGTTTGGGTTGGAATTGAGGGGTGATGACTCACATGGACTCCAACTAGAGACTGAGATCTCCCTGCCCACTGGAGACTAGACAACTCAAAAGTTAAAAGTTCCTTGAGTTGCAGCAAATTTCTTTCTTTCTTTTTTTTTTTAATATATTTTATTGATTTTTTACAGAGAGGAAGGGAGAGAGATAGAGAGTTAGAAACATCGATGAGAGAGAAACATCTATCAGCTGCCTCCTGCACATCTCCTACTGGGGATGTGCCCGGAACCCAGGTACATGCCCTTGACCGGAATCGAACCTGGGACCTTTCAGTCCGCAGGCCGACGCTCTATCCACCGAGCCAAACCGGTTCCGGCAAGTTGCAGCAAATTTCTGA